TGGGCAGTTGGGACTTGGGAGCAACTTGGGAGTGGCTAATTTTGAATATTTACTTAATGACATCTATAAATAGCTTTGATGCTTCAGGGGCGGTAGTTCATTTACACCCAGTTTTGCGGCAGGCGGTATTTCCTACGTACCGTCTGCCATGCAGGCTAGGCCGTTTGCTGTAACCTCAAAGTGCCTAGAAAACGATTTCATTTCCCATGTCTTGGAAACTGAGAACTAACACTTTTGGGAACTAACACTTTTGGGGGGCCACAGTATGTCTCTGAGCTGACAAAACAGCACATGCACACATTTCTCCACTTCCTTGTAAGTTTACAGAGCAGATTTTATACTTTGGCACTGATCTTTGTCTTTGATGTGAACATGTATTCTTCTATTTTATGTTGTTTAAGATTGATCCTGTTGTATTAGCAACCCATCGACAATATTTCATTTTAGTGTTGTCTTTGACATTATGTTGGCATAATTTCCCTTTAACTTTCTAAAGTAACTATCTCAGTTCTTTATTTTACGTACTTTATTTTCTGAAGAATGCTCCAGCAAATTTATCAAAAAAATGCAGTCAAGGATTACAATCCCCTTTGGCTGGGACGATTCTTCAAACCTAAAAACGATTAAAAACATGACAATAAATTCTTATAATGCTGTAAGTGCTCTTATAACCTTGTTTAATTGAATTTTAAGTTGTATACACCGGTGTTGTGAATGATTAGTGAGCTAAAGCAAGCAACCTTTTTGTCAACATGGACGTCACCCGAAAAGTAGTATAACTAATATTGTTGGTATAAAAGTTATTGGTATAAAAGTTTATATGTGATACGATCGTTGGATTTGCTTTTCAACTCTCTTGTAATCTCAAAGATATCGTATGGTCTATGTCTATGGCTCGTCTACCCCAGATTTATATACAGTGCAGTGCTTCTTAACTAGATGTTTTAAACGAAATTATTCTAGCAAACATTACGATATATACAAACTATTAGAGAGAAGTGATCGTAACATTTGGAGAAAGATAAAAAATAACAATAATCATCCGCTTAAGCATATGCTACCTATAGTCAAAGACTCATCCAGGCGCCTGCATAACAAAAGCTCACTGTGGCCAAAATGTAACACAGAACGCTTCAAGAATAGCTTTTTTAATAGACTGATTTTTAAGTATAATTTGCATGTTGATAATGAATAGAATAGTTTTAATAATATTGATGTATTAAGTAGCTTCTGTGTTACAATCTTTTAAATATGTAAATTTGATATGTATTTTTATCAAATGATTAATAAAGACCAATAATAATAATAATAATAATTTATCGCCCTTCGAAGCTCCTGATTTCCACCGACAAAATTCGTGCCGTTGTCCGATCTAATTTCTTCTGGCTGGCCACGCCTCGCCACGAATCTCCTCAACGCGTTCAGGAACGAATCCGTGTCCAAACTATTCGCGACTTCGATATGCACTGCCCGTATTGCCAGGCAGGTAAATATGACTCCGTATCTCTTTACATTGCTTCTGCCCCTCTTGACCGTGAAAGGGCCAAAGCAATCAATACCAACGTTGGTGAATGGCAGTTTCCCAGCCGTGACACGATCCACTGGCAAATCTGCCATCATTTGCTCTCCTACAGGTGCTTGTCTCTTCTTGCAATCGAAGCACCTTTTAATAACGGTCTTGATCAGAACTCGAGCTCTGATTATCCAAAATCTCTCTCTTAGCATCGCGAGAACGTGTTCCAAACCGGAATGACCAGAGAGATCGTGATAATATTCAACGATCAAAGTTACGACGTGATGATTGCCGGGTAATATCAACGGATGCTTCGCTCCTTCCGAAACCAAGGAATTTCTCAATCGTCCTCCAACCCTGAGGACGCGCTTATCGTACACTGGATCAAGCTTGTAGAGTGGACTGGAACATTTGACTGTTTTTGGCATGACATTCGCATTAGTAGCTGAATTTAAATTCCGTAGCATCACCGCAATCTCGTCAGTAAAACTTCGTTCTTGGACAATCTTGATGATTTCCAGTTCGGCTTCGCGCAACTCTTCAACCGTTAGTGGCTTGATACGTGTTTGCTTTTGTTCGTGTCCATTTGAAGAACGTTTCTCGCAGGCTTTACGCAATGCACGTCTATAGCGCAGCATCCATTCCACAAACTTCTTTAAGGGGTACCAAGATGAGAAACGTGCAAAGATCTCGTCAACTTTACCAGTTACAGTTGTAATCATGGCAAATGTTTTAGTCTTCTTCACTTCTGGATCGGCATCTTTGACGACAACCCAGCACCTGCTTTTGCTAAGAGTTAAGAAAACTTGCGGACCAGTTTGAAAACTGTTGGCACTTGTGATTATTTGCAGGGCCTTACTATCCAATAATTGTGAACCTTCCCAATATCAAGAATTTGTTGATGAATTGCCTTCAAAATAGGCATTCAAGGATACAAACATGTTTGCGAATCAAATGTAAAATATCGAAATTCGAACATCTATGCTGGAACAAATTACTGTTTCTAACTTTGCAGCAGTTTGCAGACATCCTTCTCCGAAGTACAAGAGGTCAGTCACAGAGCAGCACTTTGCAGCAGTTTGCAAACATTGCCTTCTCCGAAGTACAAGAGGTCAGTCACAGAGCAAACTTTGGTTTCATAAACGACGAGGTCGTCTAACTGCTTCACATTTTGGTACAGTAATGAAACGAAGAGAAAACTTTTCGCGATGTAACTTACGACGCACGTACTGTCAGTCCAAAATACTGACCCGCAGATCGGTATATCAATTTTCTTTCTGATTGACTTGTCCAACTTTGTCGCTAAAAC